CAGCTAATTGCTCACTCGGGTATTAACTTTCTTAAGTAGGTGAAAGCCTAGCCCCAAAATAACAAGAAATGTTATACTGAACCCAAGTGCCTTCTCAACAAGGCGAGATACTCCATAAGTAACACAGGGCTCAGTTAATGGTTTGGGGTTTGTTCTGTGCCATTTTTTTTTTTTTTTTTTTTWCATTCACATGACTAAGTACTTCATATATTAAAATGGGACTTCCCTATGTACTTCATAAAGCAACAGAACCTTAGATTAAGGCTGATCCTTCCTGCTTCTAGAACATCTTAAAAAAACATTTGTCAGTACCCTAACACTAACCCTCAGCACATTCTTACAGTTCAGAAAACTGTACTCCTACTTCTGGCTGACTTAGTCTGACAAGAAATTTCACCACAGGCCAAAGCTCCAGTAGCCCTCTTKCACATGAGCAAGTATGGGCATTCTACAAAAGTTCTGTTAGAGCTTTCTGCTCCCAGGCATTATCATTCATTTGTAATAGAACTAGTGTTCCAACAGATCATAAACACATTTACTTCAGCCCAAGTTTCTTCAACTGCAGGTTGAAACAAACTGATAATTTTCAATGTTTCCAGCAACATTCGCCACCACCACCACAACCAATGAATACGTAGCTGTTAACCAGACAAAGAACAATGATGATGCTGTACACAGAAACAGCAACTGTTTGTGGTCTTGCAAATACCAGATGACAAGTGAACACTGTTTGCCTCTTCAAATTAAGATTACTAATGTATAGAAAAGGCAAGAGCATCAGATACAGCTGTTTCCCCTTCTTTCATCTAGGATGACACATCTGGGATCTTGCAGGGCAAAAAAAAATCAATCCAGGAAAGAGCATACTCTTTCCGTGCACTTCCTTAATATCTGCTATTGCCAACTAGGTTGAGAGTTCTAAGGAAACATACCACCCTTAATAAATGGCAAGACTGGTTTATGGAAACAGGCAACCAGGGCAAGTTCACATATCTGCCACAGAAGCTGCGTATTACCTTACAACCCAGCCTGTGGGGGAAAGAGGTCCATGGACTAAAGGGAATTTTACAGGTTTATTTCTTATTCYTGTCTCTCTCAGTAACTTGTTCAGAGGCAGCCAATTCAGAGCTGTATCTGCCAAGCTCCTCCTGTTCCTTTGCTCATAGGCAAGGGACTGTTTCCTTTCAGATGGAAAAATCATTACTCCTGGTCAGGCAAAGCAAGACACAATTCTGGAGTTATCCAAGCATATTTCAGATGTCACAGTAAACTCAAAGTCAAGTAGGAAGAGAAAGTTGCAATAATAGTAATAATACATTATCTGTGGGAACCAGCTAATGTTAGCTGACAAGGATGCACAGATGATCAGAAAGAGCAGGGTTCCTAAATGGACCTGTCTGCAACTAAGTCCATCTGCACCCAAATACCTCTGATGTCCTGCAGGTAAATAATAATAAATAATAATAATAAAATAATAAATAGTACTGCACAACACCTGGATTATTTTGGCTACTGTCCAGCTAAGTACTACTCAGTTCTACCAGTCATTCCCTTCAGTCATCTCTCCCATTCTAAGGCAGTTTCCTCACTTTCCATCTAGAAAGGCTAAACAAGTCACTCCTGATTTTCCAGGAAGTAATTTAGGTGAAGTGGTTACTGTCTTGTCAGGGATGGTAAYGTAGCTCCAGAACAAGGAAACTGCTCCACACAGACATTTCAGAACTTCGTGTCCAAGGTCAGGTAACACCTGACCACTTGGCAAGAGCAGCACTTGTCATTAACATTTTCCCATGGGATTTCAGAAAATCTAATGGATCCTACAGCTTGGGATCCCAGCTGCTGATAGAAAACCTGTATCCAACCTTGATTAAGCAGTGATTTAAGAGCTTGTGTTTTAGTGTAATTATACAAGGATCAATTGCAATAGTGGCCATTAAGCACACAAGTATCATCTAGTGCATTAGGACATTCATAAGAAAACAAAATAGTAATGGATAGCTGGCACAGATCTTGTACCATGCACTGTTCAGAGAGAAAGATACAGGCTGAACACTTCAAGTTCATYGTGAACACATATGAAACCGAAGGATTGTGAACTGAAGTGCTGCTCCAGTCCACCCACTGCTTTGAAATAGAAAAAAACACAACATACGGCACTTTGGATTACAAACATTACAACTGAAAGCACAAAAACATTACATCACCAGTACACCTGRGGGAGAGAACAGGTTCACCTTCGCAATGCTTCACTTCTGCAGGCATTTAACACTATATAGGCTCAGTCTAACTGAAGGACCAGCTTCTCTTTGAAAGATACCAGGGTCCTCTTTGYGAAGTGTTAGGCAAATGTAAATGGCAAAAATCCCCAACAAAAACCAGATTCTGCCTTCTTACAGTACACAACTGAAACCTGCATGATTACATGAATTTTGCAATGTTTACTTCCAGGGACCACAAAACCTCWACAAGGATTCCCCTAAATATTTGGGGAACTTGTTTCAAGTTCCCCTGGGTTAGTATCCTCCTGATAAGTAAAGGGAAACATTTTATTTCTTTACCAGCCTAGGGCACACCTCACAGCTCCAAGATAGTATCTCTCTCCGAAAACACATTACATAAAGGTGCATTGGTTAGGTGTGAAGTACCATTACTTGCTCACCTGAAGATCATGAGTCACTATTAACAATCACCTTCTACAGTGGTAACAGAAGAATGAATTCCCAGTTTTATGTTCAAGCTCTTTAAAAGTTATTTTGAAGAGGATATGAGAACAGGAGAACCTCAGCACACACACAAGATGACAAACTCCTATGCTTAAAAAGGGCTAATCATAAAACTTGACCTAGAAAGTATGTTTCCAACTTAGGTAGAGAGAGAAAGAAAACAAACCACTAAGGCTTACAAGCCACTCCTTGTTTCTCCAGAGGAATGTGGAGTATCCCGCTCCTATCTTGCACTACAGCATAACAAATCATGACTGAGAAGAGTGAATCCTCTACCGTATTTTTTTCTGAAGTATCAAGAAGCCCAGCATACTCTAGCCCTCAATTTTAAGAAAACATGTAGTCTTACTACTGGCACATGAATAAACAGCAGCTCTCACTCCGCCCAGACCATTACTTCCAAGCAGCTGTCACCCAGCGTAAGTTACACCCCAAGCAAGGCAAACCAGACACCGAGGACATCTGCAAGCCTCTGCCGAGCATGTGACTGCGTGGCCACTCACATGCACTGGGCATTGCATAACCAGGGCACGCCACAGGAACGTGGCATCCCGGGGGCTGCCGCTGCCCGGGGCGGTCGCAGGGGACGGGGCTGGGCAGAGGCTGAAGTTCGCGGGTGCTCCCCGGCGGGCCTGCTGTGCCGGCTGTCACCCTGGTCCCGACGGGAACCAGGGACACGGGAGAAGCGGAGCGAGCCCCACCGGGGACGAGCAGGGGACACCCCGGTACCACGCTTCAGCTTCGCGCCGCCCCAAGCCCAGGGGCCTAACCCGGGGGGACACCGCTGCCCTTATCCAGCCCCACCGCCCGGCACACCCCCGGCTGCGGGATGCGCGGGAACACCGCTGCTTCCCTGGGCCCAGGCAACCCCCGCGGGATCCCCCTGCCCACCCGCCGCTCCCTCTCCTCCCCACAGTGGCGAGAGGCCCGGCATCCCCACCCAAAGACGACTTGCCGGGAAGGACTCACCCGCACGGGCGACAGAAGCAAAAGGAGGACGAGGAAGCCGARGCCGGCCCGCCCGGGGCTGCTTTGCGGGGTCCCCATGGCGGCGCGGGCAGGAGCGAGGGGGACCGGCAGGCGCTGTCGGCAGCAGCAGCGAGCGGCAGCGAATGGAAGCGGAGGAGGCGGTGGCCAGGCAGTCGCGCCAGCGCAGTCCGGAACAGCCGCTCTCTTCTGCCCGGGCGGTGCCGCCAACCCCTTCGGGGCGAGGCCGAGAGCCGCCCCGGCGCCGCTGCCAACCGCGACCGCCGGCCCGCCCTCGGCACC